GAAACCAGACCCCCCTGAAGCACCATTGTATTAGTCAGGCAGCAATTCTGATGCTGGAAATGACAAGTCACAGCTTGCCCCGGGAACCTTAAGGGGGAAATTAAGCTCAGCATTAATGAGTTAAAAAGCCTTTGGTTTCTATTTGAAAGCAGCAAGCTGGTTGGCCTATCTAATCTGACAGTGAAAGGTAAAGTGACTTACAAATGACTCTTCATAATTTACAAATAACTAAATGATCCAGTCAATGCATGGTTGCAATATCTACCCAATCAGAGTACCCCCTAGGGTTGCCAGAAAAAAATGCAAACATTGCAGGACATACTTATACTAAAAAAATATATATATATATTCATTATTTATCAGAAATTCAAATTTGACTAGGAATTCTTCCTTTTTATTGGCTAAACCTGGCAACTCTAGTGCCACCTCCAAACATGTAAAGAAAGAGCAGCTTTTTAAAACAAGCCAGTAATAAATGTTCTGGAATATTGTGCTAAAAGTTCTAGGACTTTTAAGTAGCAGCAATATTTCAATAAATTAATGTGTGAATTAACTAATGGTTTGCATATTGTTTCCTTAGGCACATTTCTAAAAACTTTTCAAAGCGCTTCAAAGATTTATTTTGTCACAACATGGCAAGTTGTGTATTGAAAAGACACTGTGATGGTAAACAGGGAAACTCATTTCAAATAATTTCAAATGAGCTTGCAAAAGACTCCCATGTACTTGTTAAGAGTCAACTATACATACTTTCAAATGTTTTCATCTGATTCACTTAAATAATCTCTTATAAATAAAATTTAAATCAACTCCTAAATCCCAGCTCAGTTCTGCAGAATTCCCCTCTGAGGAGAAACATCGGACAACCACACGCAGAGTCCCTCCGTTTTAGTTGCAAGTCTTGTTTCAGCTCACCTTCCAAAACAACTCAGTCAAGAAGAAATCTTCTGGCAATTCCCACTTAGAATGGCAAGCAATCCCTGCCTTTTCATTCATTCACTCATTACCCCGCTAAAAAGAGAATGTGCAGTTACCAGAATTTTAGACCATTAGTGCTCCAAGAGTGTTCTAAATGCAAACCTATAAGGGGAAAGTAAAAACAAATCAAAGTTAATTGTGACTGGCTGGAACAAAATGCTTAAATCGATAGGAGGATGGCTCATCTGCTCATCATTTCCCCATTACCTGGGAGACCAATACCTCCTGCTGGGCCTGAGTTTTGATACAGATATGCTGTTGCCTGCGCTCTCCCGACGCACAGTAAGGAGGCCCAGCCCTCCCTCTCCGGCTCCCTCTCTCATTATCCTCTGCACCTAATCAGCTATTCACTGACTCATTCTTGTTTCTTTCTGGGTTGTGTGTCCTTCTCTGCTGTGGGGCGGGGAGGGGGTCATGTACGCAAGGCACACTACAGAGCTATGAACTTTATTACTATGAAGCTCAGGGCCCTCCTGCAAAGCACTCAGAGGAGGCACCCCGTATCTGTCTGCGAATCACTGTCTTCTTTCAATGGGGCTCCCCACTGACCACTGTGATTTTTCAGAAACTCCTCAAGTAAGCTACCCCTCCTTTCACAATTCACCCCTTGAAATAACATCTTGTTGCTGAAGAGAAATAAAGCCCTCTAATTTGGAAGTAGTGAGTGTCCCCGGACACAGTGTCCAGGGGAAGGCCATGGGGGAACAGCAACGGGCTTAGGAAAGCTGTGCATGTTCTTAGCTCTCATCAATCCAGGCTGAAGTGTTAGGACAGTGGTTCTCAACCTGTGGGTCGCGGCCCTTTTGGTGGTCGAACGACCCTTTCACAGGGGTCGCCTAAGACCGTCCTGTGTATCAGATATTTACATTACGATTCATAACAGTAGCAACATTACAGTTATGAAGCAGCAACGAAAATGATGTGATGGTTGGGTCACAACATGAGGAACTGTATTTAAAGGGCCAGAAGGTTGAGAACCACAGTGTTAGGAAAAAGTCCACCTCATCTCTAACCCTCTGCTGCCTCTCAAATGCCCTTCACCGTAGCCAGCATCCCCCAAACGGGATGTAACATGCATCTGCCATTGAAGGTCCGCATGCATCTCTGAATCAGATACACACACAGCAAATTTAAATGTCTGTCTGTCCAGACAGGATGGTTGTATAGAGACATAACCTCTTTTTTTGTGTGTGTGACAATTATCCAAATGACAATCTTGCAACTAACTATACGTTACTGTTATTATTATTAATTTCCACGGTGGGGTGGGGGAGGCTCACAAAGTTTTGAAAGAACTATTTTTTCTTATTCTATTTCACAATTAAATGGATGTTATGCAACTGCTATCACCATATATTTACTGGCAATTATCCTCGTTTAGCATTCTAGCTATTTTTTTTTTCTCGTGTATGTAGATTACCTGATGGAAAAGTAAAGAGATGACCACATGTGTACGGCAGCCCATCATGGACTGAACCTGCATTAATTGTAGTATACATAGCACTTTTATTCATAATAACTGGAAAGAACTTAGCCAACTGCACTCGAATAGGCTAAACATGCAAAGGTTAGAAATACAGTTCCCACTTTAAAATTGGAGTGTAAATAAAACGGAAACGCCTAGGAGCACACTGATACAGTAGGGGAGAAATAGCGCAGCACACAGGATGGACTAGAGGAAAATTGTGATGATGTACAAAAGGGAAATGAATAAGATACATCTGGTAGCCAGCTTTAGCCCTTTCCATTGACGGTTGGCGTGCGTTCCCCCTACCGCTTCCTCAATGCATCCTTTTATTATTTTTTTTAGGAAAGGTCATTCATAACCAATAACAATGTTACAATGATAGTAAGTGTAGGATTTAAGATCCATTTTTTTAAAGCACCTTTAACAAACATCAAAAAAGCCACCATGGGGTGGGAGGGAGGTAGTTACCTAGCTCAAGGTTTTATTTAGTGACAGTTCCACTTTTTCACTCACCGCCTGCAAATCAGCATTTTTAGTGGACAAAGGGCTCAGCAGCGGCCTTATATGATTGCTTCTTTTCAAATGGTAATGGCTAGCCTAACTCCTCTGCCAGGTTTTTCTAACCAGAGCACAAATTGCAGTTTACAAGGCTCGGAGGGGGGAAAAAAACCTTAGCTGAATATCTTTTTTTTTTATTCGACAAACTGACATGTAAATTACCCTTTAAGTGCTCCACTCTAGGACTCTGATCATCTCCTAATTGTCACAGTCAATTGTAGCCAACAGTCTCTTCAATCCCAAGCGCTTTGACAACAAGCACAAGGATCACAGCAGAATCAGCTCCCTTCAATATCCTTCTGTTTAGGATGCTACAAAACGCCTGAAAGAGAAAGGTGTAAGGGCATCGCTGTAGAGGAAACTGAGAGTAGCAACGATTACAATAGTCATTTTCTCCATCTTTAACATTATGCTGTAGACGCTGCCTGGTCTCTAATCACATGTGCAGAGCAAACATGTAAACCTCCCGGGCAATTAATATGCTCTTAAAGATTAGCCTGATGTGTGAGTTTTACCAACAACACTGTCTCCACGGCTTAGAAAAACTATACCAGTTATGGGATAGCAATCGTTTCATAGCAGCTTGAGCATCAAAAACTATTATCAAACATATTCTATATTTAGAGCATCAATTCCCAAGCACACTTTTTATTATTTAGTTTGGTGCAATGATTCACTGCTCCCCCAAACTAAATAGCCCATTGAAAGAGTTTTTATTATTATTATTATTAATCTGGAGATGTCCAACTGAAAATGTGCCCCCAAATAAATAAGAAATGTAACATGAAAACTAATTTCAAAAGAATACTGTTTCCCCTCCTAGAGGTAACTCTGTCATATTGCTTTACTGGGGACAAACTAATTAAAAGTCATTACATGATCTACAAACATGATTCCTAAATAAGATGTACTTGCTAGGATCATTACTTAACAAACTATGACAATTCTTTCAAACTGAAGTAGTTATCATACATCACTAACTTCTTTGAGAGATTATTTATGCTTTTCTCAATAGATAAGAAATTTATTCTATCAAACACAGCAATATAAATAATTTGGTGGAAAGAGAAACTTTAATAATAAATCTGTATAAAATAGCTGCTTTAAAAATAACCCAAAGGTTGTCCGGGAGGGGAAAAAAAAGGCAAATGGAGAGAAATCAAAGGGGCCTGTGACACTCCCGCTACAGCTGGTCTCGTTGTACCAGGTATTACACACACGCAGTGTGTAAGGTCACGCGCTGATTGACAGCCTTACCATGCTGGAGAAAAGAACTGAAGAAAAAAAAATAAAAGAGGCAGCACGTACCCCAGGTTCCTTTTCAGCTAGTTCACTCAAATTCCCCTCTTGGGGTTTCCCATCCTCCCCTCAATTTCACCTTGAATTCTGAGGTTTGATTGAAGAGCTCCATGGAAGGGTCTATTACAGATTGAGGAGTGATCCATTTTACATCTGAAGCGCCAAAGAGCTACTTGTGAGGCGTCTTTGAGTGCATTTATCTCACATGTGAAGCTTTCTGCAAAATCAATATGGGTATTTCTCAGTTTGACAAGTCAACATGAAATATCACATAATGATAGAAAAACAGAGTTGTACATTTAAACACACCCAATACAGTTATCTATGACCAAGCTTATAGGTATGACTCATGGATATCCTTGAGTATGCCTAATCTAAACGTGTCCTGAGAGCTGGGCTAAAGTGCACAGAGAGAGAAACGGACTCCTCACCATGTTTCTGGCTCCTCCTCTGTCCTAACTGACCCAGGGTTTGTGGTGCAGGGAGGGCATGGGCAGGAATCATGGCCTTTGTTCCCAATCTGAGAGAGATATGAGAAGTGGGAAGAAAATAACCAGAGGTGAAAAAGAGGAAGGAAACAGACCGAAGAACTATAAAGAACTTCAAATTTAACTAATTGGCAATAACTGGACAAAATGGTCACCCAAAGAACAGCAACCAGGTCTCAAGTACCCACAACCACCACAGCCAGCACTGGCAGAATAACTGGCATATTTGCTTCAGTGTCCGACAATCTTTGACTGAATTCCAGGTCTATTTTACCATCTGCATAAGTTTGAGGAAGATAATTTAACTTCTCTAAATCTCTGGTTGTTGTGTGTGCGTGTGTGTGTTTCTCACAATGATATTAATCTGATTCACCTTATAAGGTTTTGTAAAGATTAAACTAGAAGATGCACATAGCACCTGGCACATGGAAAACATTCAACTATTTGTAAATATTGATGAAATTATTATACTTTCCTTAAACCTAACTGCAAAGCCGTTGGAGTTCTAATTAGGTGCCATCTCTACTGTTCCCTGGACCCTTTCCACATGTTTAATGTCCCCAAGTTGTAGATGACAGTCCTTCTCAGAGGGTGTGCCCACCGTATTAACGCGGATGTAAGTCCCAGTAGAGGAGAGCAGACACCCGCATTCTCTTGTCTTAAAAACAGTCTTCCTCCAACCAGGAACTGTCCCCATCAACCACGAGAGGGGAAGAGAATCAGAATCAGATGGGGTTTTGAGAAAGGGAAAGAACCCAGGCCTAAAGACCAAATCAGCTGATCAATTCAAACAATGAATGAGGTAAAGAATGCAGCATGTGGTTTTTCTTCATATGCCAATGTGTTATCGTGGAACCTGGGGTTATCACTGTACACTCCCCCACAGGAAGGACCTTCGAGAAAAATAACTCCCGGAGCATATAGGCAGCCCAGATTTAGTGAAGTAGCTCACTGCAGCTGCATATTCTTTCCCATTACATTTTCCTCTGGTCCATCACTACCCAAGTAGCATCAACACCATCTGTACTCGATTATTTGTGTTTGGATCCACTAATTTGTAGATTGTTTACAACATATTTTAAATTTTAGATGAACTCTCATCACCACTCACAATAAGCCCAGAGTAGGCAAAACATCTGATATGAGTTTAGAGACATGAAAATTCATGTTAATATCAAAATAAGAAAAGCATCATTATATAAAATTCAATGGAAGTTTAAAAACTCTTATCCTATATTTCAAAGTCAAATGACTAAATATAGATGACTTTCTATTTAGTACATGCAGTATTGTTCATTTTTTTAGCTACCCTACTGTTCTCCATTATTAAAATTAAGCTATAGCTTTCATTCCAAAACCAAATTAAAATATTTTATTAAATGCTCATATAGAATTACAAGAACAAATTGAAACAATTTCCTACTTAAAAAGGGCATTTCCTTGAAATTTTTAATTTATTTGTTTTGGACTCAAAATACAGTTTTAGCAAGGAAACAAGTTTATAAATGATAATTAAGTTCCCAGATTGACACATCAAAACCAGTTTAATAAAGTTTACCTGAAAAAATGCTAGAACATGTCTTAAGTGACTCTAGGTAATACAATCTACAAATTTAACCCTGTATGTAGAGATTTGCAAAGTATCATCAAACCTTGAGTTTTTAAATTTTGAGACATCAGGCAAGAAATCTGATGGAAAGATGGAACATCCAGCAGTTCAGATCATCACTATTCTCATCATCACATCAGCACCATCCTTATCATTATCATGTCATATTTCTCCCATCATATTAGTGCATGGGAGCTGTGAAGATAATGATGGTAGCCAATAAGACGACACCACATCATCTTGACTTTTTAAAATAAGTGTTGGCAACAGCACCAAAGTGTCAGGACCTGACTCCCTCTGGCACTCAAACCTCTTCTGTGATGTTCATTTCCCAACCAGGACCCTGAGCATTTAAAAAATGATTTCCGTTAAGCAAAGGAAGGCTGTGAGATATCCCATTTCAACATCACCTCCTTCTGGATGTTGCCTTGTACTGTGGCCACACCAGACTCCTTAAGCACAGCTTTGAAAAGTCTAGGGACGGGTTGGTTAAGGACCTGTTACTATACCTCTTGGCAAGATGCCTCAATTAAGTCACAATGTTGAGGTGAATATTTTCCTTTCTAATATCTCAATGGAAAACAATTTCACAATTTCTCTTGGTTATGTACATATTTCAAAAGTTATCTTCCTTCATGATCAGGGCTTTCTGCCTTATTCCATTCCTGGTTTTGATATTTATTGTAAATCTTCTTACTCAAAACTACGATCAGTACCTGTCTTTCAAGAAGTGCAGGTGTTCCATTAAAGTAGCATCCTTATAGTTCAACTAATAACAACCCTGTGAACACTCATCCCTCTGGTTCATACTTCCAAGTACACAGTACCCTACAGTTTCAATTTCACCTAGATGACCTCTGACCTCATTAAATTGTAATCACAAAACATATACATACCCCACTTGAATTGGGGGGAGGAGGAAAGGCAGAGTTATCGTTTAATGGGTATAGAGTTTCAGTTTTGCAAGATGAAAAGTTTCTGGAGCTCTGTTGCACAACAGTGTGAATATTCTTACCACTACAGAGCCATACACTTAAAATGGTTAAGATGCCAAATTTTATGGGTGTTTTTTTGTACCACGATTTTTAAACTGTTTAAATAAAAATAATGTGGTGAAACTGCTTGGGGGAAAAAAAATTGTGCATCAATTCAATAATAAGTGAGTCATTATGTAACATCTTTTAAAAACTGAATTTAGGATATCCTGATTTTTTTGTGTTAAGCAACCAGGATCCTAGATTTCAGTCCTAATTTCTTTTCTATGAAAATGCTGCTTGCAAAATTCTCTATAAAGTGTTCAAATCAAAAGAGACTAACATATGACCGACATAGAAGAAATTGCACATGAAAATGCAGGTCAAAACTAAATAAATCAATGAAACTCAGATGATAGAATTTCACTTCTCTTCTGAAAGATTCAGACAGTGACACACAAGAAAACCCCCACTTCCAGGTGCTCTGCTCCGAGCCGTGGCTACCACACATGATCACCATTTAAATGCTCAAAATTTCACTGAATTTTCAGTGGACCAAATGCAAGTTGAAGCTCATTGAGACGAAAATACTTGGACCCAAACCAGACTAGTTTTCAGTGGTTTCTCTGTTTTTGTAAGAGTAGTTTCACAGTATCTTAACACTCACTTTCTTAGGGGTTGATTTTTTGAAACATTTTACTCTGGTTAAATATTTCACAGTTTTTTTTAAAGTTCTGTTACAAAGTAAAGTCTTTTTTTTTTAATGATTCAGGGTCTTAATTCTCTTTTTGAACAAGTTCCTCAAATGTACATTTATTCCACCCAAAGTTAGGAGACAAAAGTAGACAAATAGGAGTGTGGAACAATGAAGCAAGTTTATGGAAACCACTATCTTTAATTTCTAATCCCACCTCATATACACTGAATGAAATAAATCAAATGCAAAGTAGATGGCTACCTTTTTACAATAAGCTTCCAGAGATTATATTACATAACAAAAACAAATAAATATGGTGCACTGATTTAAAAAATTTATGAGAATTTTTTCTCTCAATATTCATTATAGTTCAATCATTTGATCATCTAATGGTTTGTTTTTAACATTTATTCTTACATTCTTATAGTTTATTAGATTAGGGGTAGCAAGTCCTTAAAATCCAGTGTGAATTTTAGGCTTGCAATAATATTAATAGTTTTAATAATAATACTTACCTGTGATTAACATATCTTGGCATTTATATTCTCTCCTTAGAACAACCATATGAGGTATCAATATCCCTCTGAGATATGAGGAAAGTGAGGCTTTGAGAGATTAAATAACTTGGCCAAAACCACATACTAAAAATGCTGTGCTCTTAACCACAGGCTCCCTGCATCTTGATGAACTGTCAGAAGGACAGCTTCATTTCAGCATAGATTGTTCTTCTGCATCATCTGTTATGAACTCTTCCTTTATTTATCTTTTGATAAATGAGTTCCCTCTTGCTTTGGGGGTCTCCTATTGCCCAACAGTTCCTGAATAGAAACCAAATCTTGTACACAGACACTTGTTTTGACTGACTCCATGATTGAACCAAATGTGGTCATTGACCAACATGGCCATTGACCACCAGCAGCGGGTCTCTTTGTTCCACTGCTTCCTCTCCAAATACCGGTAGTCACCAAGCAACCAGGTTACAGACACTCATTACAGAAAGCAGCATTCATAATGACATGTACTTTGAAACCTACCTGAGTTCAGGACCATAATCCCCAGCAATTCAGGGTATTCCAGAAGACACTGCTTCCCTGGCAAATACCGCACTCAACACCAGCGAAGAACGTACATCCCAGCACAAGGACCCTGTTCATTTCCCTGCTTCAGACCTGGATTCCTTTCCCCGAGACCTCTCTGTGCCCAGGTGAGTATATTTGTGCCATATGAGTGAGGACAGAGAGCAGTCTCACATGTCACTCAGGGACAGCCTTAGAGTCCAAGAATAGTAAAGCTCGAATCCTAAGGACTCTAGGGCCATGCCGTAAAATTACATATGAGAAAAATGTGTCCAAAGAATTAAAATGATTTGTTCAAGGTCAGACAATCAAACCTCAGAGGGAAGGTAGCAGAGGGTGGGGGTAAGGGGGAGAGACCAACCAAAGGACTTGTATGCATGCATATAAGCCTAACCAATGGACACAGACAATGGGGCATGAGTGGGGTGGGGGGGGGCAATGGGGGGATAAGGACACATATGTAATACCTTAATCAATAAAGAAATTTTTAAAAATATAAAAAAGGTCATAAGCTAATGATTGAATAAGAGATTTTAAACTCCAAGTTCAGTGTATTTTCCACTTAGAATGTTTTGAAATAAAAGGCCTACTATGTGTCACAGAATATACTAGATACTTTACATATAATATTTCATATAATTGTCACAACCTTCACAAAAAATAAATATCATTACTCTTCCTATAAAGGAAAAATTATTAAGTAATTTAGCTTAATTCACATTTCTAGAAAGTAGAAGCTGAGGAATCAATTATTAATATCTTACATTTAATACTATGGTCAAATTTTTACACACACACTCCCAAAAAAATGAATCTGAAAGGGATTATGACACTAGAAAGTGGTGGGTTGATGTTAAGATTAGAGTAGAAAAAGGTATAAAATTAAGGCATGGGGAATAAAAAAGTCTATAATGAAGGTATACCATGAACACACTGGTCTTCATTTTTATTTCCTTATACCTTACATTTTTCCCAAATGATTTAAGTTGGTTTCTTTAAAGAAAAAAACACACAGTCGATACAATAAGATGAACTAAATTTAAAATGCGCCTTAGGGGAAATACAGTGAAATTAAGAGAGACAAAATTCTTGCAAGGAAGTATTATATACTTACCAGAGATAATCTGTAAATTCAACCCTGAGCTTCCAGACAGACTACATGAAGAAGGAAATATTACCATTTCATCAATTGCATTGTCCTCAAAACAAAGAACCATCCATCCATTTGCCCAGGGGAGACACAATTATGCCTGGTCATGAGACCACAGAGGAACGTGTCGCTGTGGCCCTCCTTGAGAAGGCAAGGCATAGAGCAGGGAACGGTGACCTCAACAGTCCCTCCCAGCACGCAGAGCAATGTGTTGTGCAGCGCTGTTTGTGGTACCCCCGTTGTTAGTGTCGGGCACCAGCTCTGCACTAAGCGGAATTCAGTCATGGCAGTTCTTTGACAAACTGGTTGTCTCCGGGAAAGGACAGGAGGAAGGAGAGGATTGTGCTGAATGCGAGTGAGGCTGAAGCAGTGTGCAAGTCCTACACAAACACACTAATGCTAAGTCCTTTAACACCTTTGCTATAGCACCCGAACCATCTTCAACTGGCAGTCAGCCCCCTTCCACCTACTTCATCTGATCCTCACAGGATCCATGCTTTCTAACCTCTTCTGATGCAGAGAAACAGATCAAAGCTGGTGGCCTCTGCACCAGACCCTCCGCTAAGTTGTCTGGAGGAGAATGAGTGAAGGGGGCAGAGCAGGCAAAGCCAGGCCAAGGGAGACATTGTGACAGTGGCGTGCTCCTATGTTGTGTCAGGTTGTTGGTCAGCCAGAGGCCCACCGTTCTGGAGCTTTGCAGAGAGCCCTAGTT